ATTATGCTCTAGATTTATTTATACAAACAACTAAAACCAATAATAAAGCTTCAATTAAAACTAATCACTAAACAATGAGATAAATTGGCATGGTTTCGAGAGGGGAAGTACATTTTCAAAGCGATAATTTTCAAAGAAAATATTTGTTTTATTTTTTTTTATTTTTTTTTAGTTTGATAAAATTTTTCACTCTGTGTAGTATTTTAGAGTGAGGATATAAATTTTATATAAACACATTCTGGTTTACCAAATATTTAATCTGTTAGTTTGATCATTGAGGTCAAACTACAACTTACTTAAAATTGTGTGAAAATGTTATTTGCAAACAATATGTGTATGAAAATAAATTGCATACAAGACAACCTACATTTTTGGAAAATCTGTACAAAATAATTCGTTTGATTGAAGGTATTCCTTGGAATTTACTGTGAAATAAAACTCATCATGGTGTTTCAAATCTCAAATAGCTTGTCAAAGATTTAACATATTTTACACCTTTTAGTACCATAATAAAATACCTCTTTTGTGAAATTCTTTGTAAGAATTCCATTAACAAATTATAAGTGAAAATCCATTATAAAACACGAAATAAGGAATCGTATAACAACTTTACATCTACTCTCTTTACATCTAACTCCGATGTTATTAAGATTGTGTATTCTGAAATGTGAAATACGATTCTTTCTTCTGAATAAAAGCAGTGTAATGTTCCGTAGTAATTCCCCTGAATATAAGCGGTAATGCATTTTTATATTGCATCTTACGAAGAAAATAGGATGATCATATTATATTACATATATTATTAGAGTCATTATCATCCTATATCAGTCTACACCATTGTTGAACAAAAAAGGATTTTTGTATACACACTTGAACAATACTGTAATACTCTTTTGACATTGGATTACCGTACTGATTAGTAGTCTAAAATGACAAACAGTTATGGGGTTTTACAACAACCGAATAAACTAAATTGTAAAAAATTGCTTTCCTTATAAAACTCTTGTCATATGGACAAAATGTAACCGGCCGTTCGTGATTTAATTAATTGGGTTCACATCGATACTTCCTCTGAAAAAGATGAAAGTAACGCTAATAGCGATATCACAAAGAGGAGATCCGTGTAATTAAATTTTCCAACACTCTTGTTCATGTTTTTTTTTCCTTTTTTGTTATATAAATCAAAGTAAATTAAAGTACAATTTTTAAGTTTCAAGCATGATGCTAAAATGTCATTACAGTACAGTATCGTAAATCGTTTACATTTACACTTTTAAATAACCTCAAAACATTTAAAATATTGATAACATTACATTTTTATTTTATGACGTATTACAAATAATAAATAATTTAAATTGTACAATCATATAATTACTAAAACTAAAGATTACTTATGACCACAAAATAATCAATTATGGTCAATTATTATGACCGTTAATTGCACAAATAAATAATATAACGAGATATTGCCATATACTTAGAATTTATAAGAGGAAACTGATTTGTAACGTACATTTGACATATGAAGGAGGTGGAATGAGAACATTATGATCGTATTAATTTAAATAGGGTTTGTTTCTGAATCTAGTTACGATAAATCAAAGCTCTTAAATTTATTGAGTTATTATTTTATGATATTAATAATTATTTTTTTACGGTCTATTTTTAGGTATAACAACTATGTAAAGTGTATTACACAAGTGTTGTTTTGAGAACATCAATCAGTTTCATACCTAGGCCTATTGAGTAATCTTTTAATTTATAAAGTAATATAAGGGATGACAAACATAATTGAAATATTACAATACTATTCAAATATTAACTTTGGTTTTCAGTTTTTGACAAATCCTATTTATAGATGAGGAAAATTTTTATTTTATGTAAATCAGTAAAATAATGTAAAACATGTTTGACAAGTTTTTAACTGAAACAGCTTAAATGAAAAAGAGAATCGACGAAGTTATGAATGAAGAAATAGAAGAATAAAGCTGCGAAGTTAGGATGATTGATGTTGGTGAAATGGCAAAAGTAGATATTTACTTGAAGGAATTCCACTATTTTTATAATAGATTTTCCAAAAAGTAATCAAAATCAATGTTTTATTTACATTATAATACAAAGCATACGATTTTATGAGTTGATTTAAGACATAAACCAAACATAATTTACACATTTATTTGGGGCATTATTGCAGTTTCGCAGAACGTACAGTAGATTGTTACAATAACAATGTAGTTGTCACCGTTACAATGATTAAGTAATATATACTATTATATCTTTTATAAAGCCACATTCTGAACTTTCATATAACGCAAGAACAAGTGATTTATGTCGATTTTCAATATGTATTGAAGCAAATACGCATTAACTACGTTATATTCACGGGACTATTAATAATTCAGTTCCTGAAGTCACGGACGTGCTTGGAATATAGTAATAACCATTTAACATCTCCATCGTAATTCATAACTAAATGTATTTGGGGTGTAATCTTATATGCAAAATACCCTGGTTGCAGCAAACCTGCAGACTAAACGAATTCCCGTTTGCCTGATAGAATTTTCACTAAAATATATCCATAAGAAGGTAATATTTTCCCCATAACGTTAGTTAAACTAATATTTTTTATTTTATACCGGAAAGGTGGGGAGTGTGCTTTTCTGTCATACTGTGGCAAAAACAACCGTTGTTCATTCATTCCCTAGGTAGTTTGTAACAGTTGGAATCTTCGATTGCGTGCAATAACATTATAGAAAGTATTTATTGATTGATTTAATCCGTTGTAGGTAATTTTGAATCCTTTTAATAGTTCTACATATCGATTGAATAATGTACCGTAACACAATCGTAAAAAACTAAATGGTGCAATCACTTACTATACAGCTTAACAAGTTAACCTCGAATTTTTTGAGGTTATCTATTTATGAACACTATTTTCGTTCTCTTAACTTAATTTATCAATTGATATGCAATAAGACGAAAAATATAGTTCATCACTTGGACATAAATTGTCTTTTCAACCCTTGTCCATTTTCCTACACAATTTGAGTCGAGCAAAACTTGAGCTAGGGTTGGAAAGAGTCACTTTATTATAACCTAGCTATGAAATTTACTATTAATTTTATGACATATGATAAGTTTTTAATTAAATGGATGCGTTTTCAAAACCTGATCACAAGCAGTTCACCAGGGTCTCCTGACTCTAAAACGGCACAGGCTTTATAAAGCTACTGGTAAAGTGAGGGAATGTTAAACAGGTTTGGAAAACATGCAGGAAGGTGCAACTAATAGGAATCAAAGTGGGATGAGATTAATACAAGCGGAACTGATACTCAGTCCTACTCCAAATATAGGTTGGTCCATGCTCTATTTAAATGCAGCACTATTGAAATTAAAGAGACTCGATATTCTTTAAAACTTGATTATTGTAAATAATGCTGTAGACCTAACTATAATATCAAATTACATTGGGAAATGAAGTGCTCTAACAGTAAAGCATTAGGCTCCGGCTCCCAAGGTTCCGGGTTTTATACCACCGCCACAATGGATTTTATCCATATAATAATGTCGCAACCATATAGATTTAGCCTGAAGCAAAAATTAAAATGATTCCATCCTAGCTAAGAGGGACATAAGAAAATTAAATAGTTGTTACTAAAGCCTTGACACATGTCAATTTTTCAGTATAATTTACCTTTTGTGGTAACCTAAGGTGTCAACAGTGTAGCTCTGCAGTACGCGTTTTGTGTCAATTATGTCACAGCTGCATAGTACAGCTAAAACAGCTCAATTGAGAGTGTTTCTCAACGCATCACAATGTGAGCTTTTTTAAGCTGCACTACGCAGCTGAAGATGTGTCATAATTGACACAAAACGCGTACTGCAGAACTACACTGTTGACACCTTAGGCTACCAAAAAAGGTAAATTATAACAAATACACCAAATAGTCCGGAGATTTTTACGATTACTTTATCATTTACTGATTTGCTATTTAATCCTACAATCTTAATTGTAAGTAAAAAATGACATGCCAGACGGTAAATAAATGTTCGTAGACAGCACCATTGGAAACCCAAGATTTTATCAGTTTGTAGGGATTTACAACCTCTGCATGTGTCACATACATTGAATATTCAAGGGTCAGAACCACGTAAGTCCCTTCGGTCCTAAATTATTTATAGGTTAAAGAGTGCAGAGGAAACCAAACATTCATTAATTAATTATTTCACATAGCCTGCCTACCATTAATTTATTTTTCATTCTGTGTTTAAATTTTAATTGATTGATCGTTTGGGTTAGGAATGATGGCATTGGATTTTTTTTACAAATACCAACCAAGTTATTATTGCTATAGAGTCTTAATAGCATTATGCAGTCTATGAACACAATTACTCTATTTGTGATAAGTCTAGCTCTAATTTGTTAAATTTTGTTTTAATGGATAATGAGATAGATGGATTTTATGTTATATATTGTGTGTATTATAAGTCATATTATTATGCACAACAGGTGTATTTTTAGTACACTGTTTGAATGTCATGTTAGAGTATTATAAAGGTTAATTTTATCAATAGACATGATTTAGCCTATGAGCTGAATTGATGACTATAATATAATTGTACTATTACCTCGTCATACCTCCATATGTGTCGTATATATTACTGGTGATTTGACATCAAAATACCATCCTCAGATACATACATCCATCGGATTTGGCGTCGTTAAACTTAACACACACACGTAACACGGTAACAAAAATTTAAAACATAAAAAAACTGAAGACAGACCTGTCGTGCACATGATGAGTATGGAAGATGACTGCTACTGATTAAGTATCCTAGTTAGGTTCTAGGCTGTAAAGTGTGTTATATTGAGACACACTACAACAGAGTCTAAGGTTCTGGTACTAAATTGCTACTTAAAGTCAATGTCAAATATGAAGCTCTATTTAAAAATAAAAAACACAAACAAGGTTGTTGATGGTAAATAATGCATAACATACTGCAATAACACATGTTTATATAATAAACACAAAAAAATGTGTCATGAAATGCATAATCAAGGTCTTACATATTGACTTTATGGTTCAAAGGTTACACCTGGTGGTGGGTATGTCGTATTTGAAGGGGGTAGTTCAGTTGTAGTACCGTAGCTAGGAGTAGTCACGGAGTACGTAGTTCCAGAGGTGGTGTACAGACAGCGCTGAAGGTTGTAGAGTGTGACGTCTCCCCCGAGCCACAGTTTCCTCACTGAGGATCCACCACAGGGGAGATTCGACCCGTTGTAGAAGGAGGAGTATCCCTGCAGAACTCCCACTTTACTATCTATGTCACTGTGTGTATCAGAGTGGTACAGGCCAAAGGTATCGTAGACGATGTTGAAACAGTCTGATATGGTGGAAGGGGCGAATATGTAACCCTTAGAGAAGCACTCGAGCAGCGCAACGTTTCCAATATAAGGCATACGGTAGTTGAGGTTGACGAAGTCGTTGACGATTTCGCTAATGAGTTCCTTCGTGTTGTTGACTATTGAGATATCGCAAGATAACGCTTCATTTGCACCTGAAATATATCCGAATATATGAATTATATCCCCAAACTTTCTTAGAAATAACTACATGTGTCAATATATAAATTAAGTTAGTGAATATCATTTTTTCACCCTACTTTTCCAGAATACGACATCTCTTTCTCTACCATATCTATGAAACAAATTTTAAATGAAACATCAACCTCGTGAAATGCACATCCTTTATAGCAATGGAAAGGACATCAAATCATTTAAATTTCCAAAGGAATCTTCTGCATTAGGAGCATTGACAATTTGATACTTACTGATGTTGGCTACAGTATCTAACTCTGCCTTGGCTGTGGGAATGCACTCTAGGTCTCCAGGGTTATCTAAGGCAGTGGCTGTCACTGTGTTGTAGTAGTCACTCAAAAAGAGATACGTCATGTTGAGGTAGAAGTCCAACCCACGAGAGTCTATCACATATTGCTCCAAGGCCTGCTTCTGTAGCCCGTAGTACTCTTGCATTTCAATCTCCACACCCCAGACCTGGTAGTAGTTCTTATCTTGTGCGATGCTGATTTGACTTTGCAGAGTGTCATTGTAGCCTTGCCATTGATTCTGTAAAAATGCATTTTTAGATTATAACATATTTGGGCTACTAATCTGCATCAATAAAATGATATATATATATATATATATATAAGTTTGCAAGAATATAGGCTTACAAATATTTTCAGAACACTTTTGACTTACTATAAAAAGATATTTTTAAGGAAATTTTACCAGTTCTGCGGCATAAGCATCGGAATCAATGGTTGTAGTAAGCTTTGAACACTCGACCAGCATTTCAAGGAACTTCCACCCTTTGGCAGCCACGTTAGTTGCAGCAGTAGTGGCACACTGAACCGCCGTCTGTTGGAAGTACGTCATCGAGGGACTCGGGAACATGGCGTTCTAAAGATATGAAATTAAGTTTAGTCATAATTGGTGGCATTAAAAAATTTTAATATTTTAAAATGTTAATAAGACAACATTTCATTGTCAATGCCTACATTCAATTGGGTCCAGTGAGATGAGATAAATGATCAGTGTGGATTATTTAGAGATTAAATTTGTATGTTCCACATTTACATCCTAGAACACCAGACTCTGGCCTGGAAATCCGAAAATATTTCCACTAAATACCTAAAATAAAAAATGATAAGGTTTATTATTTGCTTGATTTTTTTCCTTAGGCTTGATTTTTTTAATGAAAATGATGGCTATGTCACACAGCTTTTTATTGCAACAAAAACATAAGTTAACATCACATTATAAAACACAATAAGCCAATCATTCGTAATAATATTAGAAGTGGCTGAAATGTACAATGATGTTTTCTCTGATGTCGATATTTTTATCACACCTTGAAGAAAGCTTGAATACTCATATCTTATATTACGCAATCGAGGTATATGAACTTAAGTAAAGGTTGTGACAAACGTGAAAATTAAATCTGAAAGAATTTAGGATTGTCAATAATCTGTACCAGAATTCCTAATAGAAAAACCAGTACTGTATTAGTAATTATAACTAAAAAAGAAAGGAACATAAAATTCAACATTATCATTATAGTATAGTATTTAAAATTATGTAGTTGTTTGTGTGTTTGAAGTCGTCTTGGGTAAAAAGTCTGAATAAATTAAGGGTGATCAAATTCAGTTATTGATAACAATATAAAGTGTAAAATATGTTTGGAGATTGATAATAATATTTGAAGTAAATCAAACCTGGGTGTTGTTGGCAACGGTGCGGTAGTTGCTGTACATGGATTCAATACAAGACTTGAGGCGGCTGATAGAGTCCTTGTTGGGGTAGGTTCTGACACAAGCGTCTATACCCTTGAAAGTTCTTATGTATTGAGCAAAGTAAGTTGCGTTGGTCTTTCTCCATGATGTAAGCAGTCGATTTAGCTTGGATTGAGCATCGGCAGTGCAGTCAATGTAAGCGTCAACCTCTGTAAATATTTACATTATTTCCTATTGGCTTTAAAGATTTACTAACTGATGAAATGTTTATACTAAATTTAATGTAATTCCTTTCCACTATTGACTAGTTTTTTGTAATTTCTTGTCAGCATTGATGTCCAGTTTCATCGGTGTAAAATGGCTACACTATATCTGGCGCTAAAAAGTCAATGCCGTCGGTAGCAACGTGAGTTGGTTCAAAATTTATATTGTCTTTACTCTAATACTTTTATTTTTTTATATTGTTGTATTTGCCCTCAGATTCAGTGTATTATTCTGCAGCAAAGTATTAAGCTACACCTATACTTATATAATATTTGGACTCCTCGTTACCTTAACGATTACAATGATTGCAGTCAGATAACTATATATTTATAACGAGGAGATTTACCCCCATAAAGATAATAATGAATCACTCACGAGACTAGCCAATATGAAACGAACAGTGCAGGTCTGTTTTCATTTATTTGTAATTTTGTATAAAAATAAGCTCTACAATTTACTGAGTGTGACGGCCAGGTCATTTAACATATGTTTAATTTCACTGACCTGTTGCTATTGCGTCCTCCATGTAGTCAGAGATGCCATTAACACAGCCCTGTGCTTCCGTGTCTTCCATCAGCAGCTGAGCTGTAGCCAGCTCCTGTGCTTGGAAGGCCACCACTTTGCTGAGGCTGTCGTTAAGTCCTGATGCCAAGTCTCTGAACGCATCCTGAGCCGCTTCTAGCGTGAGTAGTTCTTCTTGGAGAGCTCTGCTGGGGAAGAACTGGTGCCAAGCTGAGATGTCTGATTTCTGCCAGTAGATGTAGTCGGTGACATACTCATCGGCAAAGGTTGATTGGAGGACCTAAATTTATGTGATATTTTTTTACAATATTAATAAAATTTAATAATCATATTGTTGTTTGTAACAAACACGAACGTAAAATCACTAATTAATCTTTTTGAGCATTTTTATATTTATTTTATGTGACAAAAGCTTGGTCTTATTTATGTTTATGACTCTAATTTGTGATATTTTAAGTTTTTTATCATGCATGGCTTTCTTGGAACAAATTAAAATTTGTTAATTATACGTTCAAAGTTATTGAATGTATATAATTTTGTATTACTTAAATAATTATGCAAACAATAGAATATCTTACTTTTGAATTACTAAAGTTAATATAAGTAAAACTATGTAATATCAGTATAATTATTTGTTTAATTGCTTAAAAAAAACGTTTTTCGTAGTTTCCCAGATTAAAAAAATGAACTTGATTTATTTAAAGGAAATACCTGTTTTGCTCATCATTAATAAAAGCATATGTGGATGCTTAAATAAGATAAATAGTTTAAACTATAGTTTTACCCCAAGTTCAATTTTGCAAACAATATATTTGTTTTATCCACGTTATTTTAGGTTTACACTAATCAATGTGTATGCTGATACTTTGTAATTTTTTGCAATGGAATTTGTTTTTGAATAAAAGTCTAATTGTAGTCCAAAGATGAGTACTTAAATCTTTTAACAGCAAATAAAGTAAAATAAAATAAATATTCTACAGATTTCTAGTGCATAAAAGATACCCTAATATAGTTATACTACTGGGATATACTTAGCTCAAATTAAAATAACAAAAAACATTGAAGAGTTGAGCAGTAATACCTTACCAAGTCACTTTGTGCTTACATATTTGAATTTTTGTCACTAAAGAAAATTTCTGATAGCTCCAGTGAGCCAAGTGAAATTACTACTTAACAACTAATAACCTAATACAAATAGCATCAGTAGCAAAATTGTGCTTTACCAAATATTTGCCCAAATTTCTTAAAGTTTTCGTCTTTTCTGTTTTGTTTTCTAATGTTTTATTTCCCATGAATGGAAAACTTACACAAGCTACAACATATAAGGCAAAAGTAGTTTATAAATTAATAAAAGCCTACAATAGTGTTTTCATTCATGTTGTCAATAAATTAAAATTATGAAAACCAATTAAATATCAATCAAAAATGTGATAGCTATAACGTCTGAGTATATCCTATATTTATGACGAAATTATCTATCAGCGTTAAAACACAGTTGATTTATAAAACCAGGTTAAAATTTAGCTTATTTGTAACATAAACTTGAAGCAATCTTTGGTTTTAACGGCGGTTTGAAACTAACTAAGTTTAAGTTAAATTCTGTTTCGAGAAACCGGCCTTATGAAAACAACTGGATAGCTACGCTAGGCTTGCCTCAACACCCTTACTGGTTTGGTATTGCCCCTGTGGAAATGACGTTCAATTTTTGGTGATTAATACAGTTTGAAGAAACTTTGGTATGTTTCGCGTTTTTAAATATTAAAATAACCCTATATGTTTAAACTAATTAAAAGAGGTTTACTTACCAGAGCAGTGAAGACAAGACCAATAAGCTTCGCCATTGTGATGTATGTTCGATGAAGACGACAAATGGATTGTACCATAAGCATCACATGCAGATCAATTTATACACTCAAAGTGGGATTTCTCCGTTATCATCGATGACTGTTAGTCTAGAGTAGTATTAAACCACTTCAAACTTAATCTTGTCACAATGAAAAAATCCTTTCCTATGAATCACTTGAATGTATCACTCGAAAATGTCAGTGTGAAGAACACTTATAAGGTAGATTGATGCTAATTTAATAATACTATACAGATTTTCCTTGTTATTTATAACGCCCCTTGCACAAATACTTTAATGATATGACAGTAAACGTAATGCGATTAATTGAAAACTAAATGTTTTTAGATTGTTGAAGACCCCTAAACACATAAACCTCCTTTGTCATCTTTACATTTAAACGTTTAAAAATTAACTTTTTTGTAGTCAAAATACGACTTTTAAGATATTAGTGGAAAGCCATTGTCTTAATATCATATACTGATTTATCTTTTAATTTGTTTGTATTTTTTCCATTTGTTACATTTTTTAGAGGTTTTGTAGCTTTCAAAAGTTGGTTTTTAAAAGCTAACAAAAGGCATAAATGTAGCTAGCCTACTAATATTTAGTACATATGCTTCAGTTGAGTATTGGTATAAAATGTCACTTGGTAAAAAGTTCTCATACAATTGAATCTATAGCTTCTTTTAAATTAATGATACAGTATCAAAATTTTCATTTAGTTTTCTTATTTAGTTCCGTATTAGGTTTCTATTACGGTTTCTTATTCCCAAGATTCAGATCGAATCTATCGACCCGACCCAAGTCCGTTTCCATTACATTCATGTTTTTTAAATGCGCATTATAATGATTCCAAGATTTGTTGTTTTCAAATTAAGAAAGTTTGTTTGCAAAACGAGTGGGATTGGCCAGCGCATAGTGAATGAAAACTTTGAAACATAAAAGAGAAATTGTTGTTATAGCAGTAAAAAAGTCGCAGATACGGTGACGCGATTACGATTACGCGATTACGATTACGCGATTGCGATTACGCGATTGCGATTGCGCTATTGCGATTGCGATTACGCGATTGCGATTACGCGATTGCGATTACGCGATTGCGATTACGCGATTGCGTTTACGCGATTGCGATTACGCGATTGCGGCGTTTGTGGGTGATTTGAAACGGATAAATAGTTCATGCACGACGCTACAGTGTAAAAAAGTAAAGGACGTATGTTGCATCTAAACGCATATTTAACTAAATCTATTATTTCTTACTATCCGTAATTTTACCTTAACGTTAATTAAAATCAATATGCTAACTATTTAAGTAAATAATGTTTTAAGTAAAGCTTAATCTACAGTATTATTTAAAAATCCAACAAAAACAATTGCAATTTTTAAAAATTTTCAAGTTTACAACTTTCAAATAAAATATTAATGCAGTAAAAAATTTATCATTTTAATTTTAACACAAATAAATTTCTCAACAGAGAAAAAAATAACAGCCAAATGCTTAACCATACTATTGATAATTAAACAGACTTTCACCTAATGACCAGCTTGCATCGGTCACCCAAGTGCTAGAGATAAGGGTTGTTTGTCAGAATACTTTGCCAGAATACTAAACTACTGAATTTTATTTTATTCGTCAGTACAACGTTCTAGTTATAACGTAAGTAGCTCACTCCCTTTAAAGTTTTGCTTACGTTCTTAGTCACAAAAAATCAATTAAAATTTGTACCGATTTCATTCTTGATTTGACTAAATATCATACCACTTTAACCAATTTAAGACCATTTTAAGAGGCAAAACCACTTCGTAGTTGATTGAGATGGATATTTTTTTCGAAAAACCTCGGATTTATTTCTATAAGCGAACATATTTTTACAATAAAAATTATACTTTATTCCTTCCCTTACACATTACAATACATTTGTTTAACTAATAGTGTTAATGTACACATTTCATACAAAAGTACACAGATCCTATTGTGGCACTTGAATTGAATATTCACGTGGTTTGGCCAGAGAGTCCCCATCCGTACTGAACTATTTATAGGCTGATATATTCAAGAAGATATATTCACTTGCTTGTATTTATGGGACTTGTAAAGCTTTTAGTTTTGTATTTCGAATTTCAAACTCATGCAATACTTAAGGGTGATTTTTACGCGCAACCCAAATTTTAAGTACTGTAAGGCAAATTTTTTAAAACAAAACAACCTTTTTTATTTTGTTATACCTGTTTTCTTACTTTATTGCCGATCAGCTGATATGCGTTATTGTATAGTATCTATGAGGTTTAGAATTGTTGGGAATGTATTGTAAACGAGACATAACTTGACGTTTACCCAATCTAAAATAATTAGAAAAATACATTGAAAGTAAATCATTCAAAGTATTCCGTAAAACTATTTATGAGTCTTCCACCTCATCTGAAGGCCGAACGATATTCAAACAAGTTTAGAACGGGTCTAAAGTCTATGTTGTTAGATATATCATTGTACAACGTCCGTGAATACTTACTTTAGTTTTTCTTAATGCCATGTGCACAAGCTTAGTTTATTTAGTTATATAGTTATTAATAGGAAGAAATTTGAATTTTATTTACTTTTTAGACTTGGATATTGCAGGTTATTGTTAATTTGACCCCATAAATAAATGGAATATTGACTTACCATCGGTTTTATGCGAAAAAATATTTGGAACTAAGATTCCAGTACCCAATAAATCAACTTTTATTGACATATGCAAATTTAAGGAAACCTAATCCGAATCTAACAATAAATCTCCAATTTCAAGATTTAAATGAAATACGAATAAGGGAAATAGAAATTCACTTAGTCAGCAGGTTTGCTAACACGAAGGTATTTTTTACGGATTATTTTACCGAACAATTTTACCTCTATTAAAGAACTTTTTTTTCCTTTACTAACTGTATTGTGAGCCTCAATTTAGGCAGTTATGCAGCGGTAACTTTTCTAATTTTCTTTTTAAATGATAATCTTCTTCCTCGACTTGCTCTTAGAACTCTAAATCACAAAAGAAGAACGCAGTATTATTGTGATTGGTCATTTGACAAATACCACCTATAACTTTTTTATTGTCTGCAATAGTTTTAGTATAAACCACACTGTGTAAGTAAGTAAGACTTCAAGTGTGTTTATATGTTACTAGGAATTGTTTGATTGGTGTAATGGATTGCTTCAGGATCTCAAATGTCTGTTTGGTTTATACGCTGTCACTCCAGGACAGATTTGAGTCATATACATCATACAACAGATATCTCAGTGAGGATTATCAATAATAACTCAGTAAAAATATCAATATAAACCAGTCAGCTTAAAAACCCATACAGGCTATGTTCTTTCAAAATATGTTCTTTCAATTATCAAACAATTATGAAGAAACCAACAAAAAAAAAATACAGAGGATTTGGTAGAGGATTTGGTAGCTTTATAAAGCATATTCGATAAAAAGTAACCCTTAGAACTAGTAGTCAATTTACTTGACTTAGCAACTGATTCAATAAACAAATGATTCATATGTTTATAACAAGAAAAACATTTTTACACTTTTGTAAAAAAAACATATTACAAGTTACAAATTTGTCCCAGTATATTCATAAGTTAATAGAAACTCATTTTTGATGACAAACCTGATCATCTGTAATCCTTGGTGTGAACCAATATAATTTAGGCATAAAATACTGATTTAACACATATAACAACTGCGAGTTTTATATTAACGCATAATAATTCAATGACATTTAATAATTAATTGCTTACATACATCTATCAGCAGGAGAAGAGCTGAGTGGGATAGAGTATCTCACCTGCCGCTCTTACACTTTTATTTCAAACATATATTTTATGTTTTAATTAATGCACATACACTTAAAATATGCTTTAACTACAAATAAATAAAACAAAGGTTTAATCACATCACATTGCATCAAACTGTTGTGTGATGTCAAATTATCTGCCGTATACTGGGAATGGACATCATGAGTATATACCATGAGGACATCATGAGGATTTTTTTTATTTGATAAGGAAACAACTTTCTTATTAAATACATTAAATAATATTTACTTACATTTGCTTTATTTCATAATAATAGTGGTGTAAACATTTAATTTATTTTCGAAATATACAACGAGGCTACATTATAAATTATAAGCTTATTTAGTCTACATGTAAGCCAATAAGATATTTTTGAATGTGTTTATATTTATGATTGCTTTTTAATTATTTCCACTATAGTAAATTTATATCGATGTATTTTTTCCTTACCTTAGGCCTATAGGTTTTAGGCAGATAATAATGATTCTTAACAATTACACGGAATAGGGATAACTAACTCCCATATTTATGTTATATGAAAAAAACTATCACGTACTGTAAATTCGATTTAAAAATCGATATTTATGTTTATGAGTTGTTATAAATGTTACAATGATACATAAGTAGGTTGATGAGTAAATTGTTAATGCGTGTTACAATTTCTTAGTATATTAGATCCATTCGCCTATTGGGTCTGATGATGATTGGAGTGTCCAATCGAAATCGATCACCACTTACCATCTGTTTTGTATATTTACCGTCTTGTGATTAACAGTATAAGCGTAAATATATGTTTTAAGTGTTATAAGACGTTTCTTTTATTTACTTTCCGTATTAGATCCAAAAACCATTTGACTATAATCGTATTTGAGTGGCATCTATTTGCTTTCTGAAAGTTTCTCTGAACAAACAGTTTCCTTTAACTTCTTACATAAAGACATAATTTATCAAGTAATTGCTCTTCTTGTAACCTAGTTTTTGTGATAAACATAATTAGTGAATCTCTAGCAGAATGATTGTCGTATGAGGAAAGAGCTCAGCTTAAATAAATAAATCATTTATTACATTCAAAACATAGAAATAGATATAATAACATTTAATAACATTTTAGAATTATTAAATTTAAAGATAGCTTTTAGTACACATATAAACCAGTATTTCTTATCGCATTACATACTGGACTATTTATTTATTCGTATTTTTTTTTGTAAAGCAACATGCTATTTTTTTATGAACAAAATTATAAATTATACTTTAAATAGACA